CTTCTTCTTCTTCTTCTTCTTCTTCTTTTCATTCTTCTTTTCTATTTTATTCACCAACATCTTAATTACGTCTTTTTGGTCCTTTTCATCCTCCTTCAACTTAATACTTTTCGTCTTCCTTTTTGTTATATCGTTCACTTTTATAAGACTATATTGGGGAGTATTTATTTGTTATAATGTGCAGCTGATATAGAGTGTCGTCCCATCAGCAACCCTGGATGTGAATGATGTAAGAGCCACCCGGCTATATGAAAGAGAAATACACAACTATTTGTTGCGAGGCTACTAGAGAAAGCACTTGTAGTTGTGGTCGATCATGCCTCGTATTGAGATTTGAATACTATGAGTAACAACTAGACTTTACATTTCTCACACGTTTTCTCGACCTCGATCGCTATCTATAAGGGGTGCGATAAAGGAAGCCGAAACATTCTTCCGAGAAACGACGTTTATTGCCTAATAACATGAGTCTAGTTTAAATTTACGCACAACCCTTCTGATCGAAAAATTGCCACTCTGTAAATATTGAAGCTCTTGCCTTGTGCTGAGATACTGTTTTGTCACATTGTACGCAACATGAGAAACGGGAAAATGGTATGTCCCTCCGTCTGTATGTCTATCCGTCCGTCCGCCCGTCCGCCCGTCCGCCCGTCCGCCCGTCCGCCCGTCCGCCCGTCCGCCCGTCCGTTCGTCCGTCCATCAGTCCATACAACCATCCACCCCATCTACCCATTCATGGATGTATTAAACTAACAACTTGAATAGTTTGAATTAAATTGGAATACTCTTATTGTAACAATTCCTTACCCAGATCTATCGCACACATTTGGAAAGTTAACGCACCGCTTACTTGTTCACAATCATCACCCACTATGACCCGATCTACGCCCCACCCCACCCGATCCCATCTCAGGCCCCCTGGCGTTAGCAACATTGCTAATGCTCAGTATGTGTTACAATGGCAACGTGCGTGGCGACTGTATCGGCTGTTAACGAGAGAAAACACGCCATTAGTCGTCTGTGAGGAGGCTCAGCAACGACACGGACAAAACATTCGGTCACCTCACACACACGTACGCGCTCGCACACACGCGCACATGCACACACACACACACACACACACACACACACACACACACACACACACACATTCACACACACACACCCACACACACAACGCACGACACACACCACGCAACAACACACACACGCCACGCACACACAACGCAACACATACGCACCACACACATACACACATCCACCCAAAACACACACGCACACACACACACACACCACACACACACACACCACTGCGCGCGGCGCGCACACACACACACACACCGCACACGACGCGGCTCGCACACACAACGTACACACGCGCGCACACCACGCAACGCCCACACACACGCCACAACACACATACGCACCACCACACACACACATACACCACACGCACACACACACACCTTACAGCACACACACACAGACACACAACGTACACACACACAACACACACACACACACACACACACTTCACCACACACCCACACACACAACACACACACAACACACCACACACCACACACATCACGCGCGTGCACGCACGCACGCACACAGCACAACATCACAGCGGCACACTCACACACACATTACATCTACACGCACCACACACCAACGCACACCATAACGCACACACACATATCACATCAACCCAACAGCACACACGCTGCACCACACACACCACACACACACACACACACCACGCCACATACACACACACACACAACACACACACACACACACACACACACAAACGTACACACGCGGCACACACACACACACACACACAACACACACACACACACAACACGCGCGCGGCGCACACACACGTTACGCGCTTCGCACACACACACACCCACAGCGCACACGGCGCACGCACGGCGCGCGCCACACACCAAACACACACACACACACACACAACACACCCCACACACACACACACACACACACAGTCACACACAAACACAGACACAGACACATCACACACACACACACACACACACACACACCACACACCAACACTCACATCACACACACACACACACACACACACACACACACAACACACACACAACAGGCACACACACACACACAACACACACACACACACACTACTACAACACACACACACAGAGAACAGACACACACACAAACGCACACCGCGCACCCCCAGCACACACACACGCCGGCTCCGCACGCACGTTCGCCACGCATCGCACCGCTCACTCACACAGATCACGGCAGCCAGCTGTTGGGTGAAAAGCCTCGTATTGCGTTAGGCTTACGCGCCCGCCGTGCTCTGCACATCTAGGTTGCCCCCGCGATGGCGCTGTGCTTGCATCCACGGCGACGCCAGTCTGTAGTCCGTCAATGATCTGAATGAAAGAAAGCCGCTGAATGTTACGCGGCCGTGAAGAAAGAAAACGCTCGCTCTTTTCTGGCGGGACGAGAGAGATTATTTCAGCTCGGCGTTCCGGAATAAACGCGCTGCGAGAGAAAAAGTGTGGGCGGCTCTGAGAGAAGCCAACGGGTGGGGGTACAAGAGACGGCAATGGAGGTGAGGGAGAGCAGAGGGTTGGAAAGTGGAATTGAAGAGAAAGGTGAGAGGAAAGATCGGATTCTTTGCGGGGGGGTGGCGCTAGCTAGTTTGTTGTGAGTTACGCTTTGTATTGCGAGTTATTTGTACACGTGAGGCGGCTAGCGCATGAGTCATTATAATACGTAGTTAGACTTACGCACTTTCTGGCACACCGCCATGTTGTTGTTATAGGCCTACCCACATGTTAATGTAAACCTTGCTTGTTTTAGCCTCCGGGCAATAGACTGAATATTAATTATATAAATAAAAGATATTTAAATAATTTTATGTACATGCTATGTATTATTATATATTATATAATATATATAAAGTATATATAGTATAAAATGGTTGATGTGTGTATATATATATATATATATATATATATATATATATATATATTGTGTGTGTGAGTGTTCTGTGTGTGTGTGTGTGTGTGTGTGTGTGTGTGTGCGTGTGTGTCCGTGAGGGCGTGTGTACACAGAATGTGTGTACGCGTGTGTTTCCACGTGTATATGTGTGCGCGAGTATGTGTGCATGTGTTTGCCCACAGCTATGTGCGTGCGTGCGTGTGTGCGCGCCCGCTTTGTATGAAGTCGCCTGTGTTCGCAAGCACAACAACATATACGAAGTGTAGCGAATGCTAGCAGCACAACACCGGCTATTACTTGTGGTATTAAGCGGAACCACTTACTCTTATTATATCGCGGGACCACTTATACGTTTTGGTATAGTGACCTTTGGCCGCCCGTCTTAGCGCGCGTGCAGGCACTACGACGGGGCATTGTGGGACAACTAAACTCCTTCTCGTTGAAATAAAGACGCCCCTCGTTTTTAACTCGACAGCGTTTCTGATGACACCGTACTGACTCCCGGATAATCGCCATGAGCTCGTTGTCAGAAACAAAATTAGTCCCCACGTTAATCTTAGAATTAGCTTTTACTCGCAGACCTGACCGCTATACGCATACCTGACCGCTATACGCTGCGTATAAGTAACTCGTAACTTCTGTTCGATATTTCTGTTCAACATTCGACGAGACAGAGGTAATGTTAAGGCTGATTTTAAGACTAATTTTGTTTCTTAAAACGGGTTCCACATTCGCGGGGAAACATGCATTGCTCGGATCAGCGCATGCGCAGTTACTATTCGACGTTGAATGGTGTGGCGATGGATCGTTCGGAGACATTGTCGATTTTTTGGCGAGTAATTTCTCGCTAACGAGCAGTCAAGAATGGAACGTTAAATTGACGGTCATGTAGTATTGCGGCGTGGTGTGCGTAGATATATAGTCTGTACGTAGACTTGGAATTATACAATGTAACACAGTATCTAATCATAGCCGGTTGTTCGCTTTCTGTAGGTAGAACCAAATGGACAATATATGAGGTATTGCCGGGCAATTGCATTTCTCTACTATACTCGACTATGTATTATTCGTATTGCTAATTAATCCTTAAATAATTCATATTACTCGATAAACTGTAATCAGCGAGGTCGCATACACGATACACGGATCCAAATGAACGGGAATAAGTGTAACTATATCATCAGCAGGGGTAGGGTTCTTTAACTGCTACACAAGGTTTTCTTACGATATAAGTAAACATATGCTAGATTATGCTTGTATGTCAACCAATTTGTAGTCACTATATATATAGCTATGCTGTCATATTATACATAGTTCCGCTATATATTTACACGACATGTCACATGCTAAGATATTGCACTTGTTAGTGAATTGATCTTCACGGTGGTAAGCCGTAACTGAGTATAGAGGGCGCCATATAACAGTTAACTATGTGAATGCGCGCGCCTAGACGTGTAGTGTGAACAGAGCACGTATCATCTATCATATGATATACGTGCTCTGGTGTGAATATACGCATTCGTACAAATTATTATTGATTGAACATATAACCAATATTATATAATAATAAATGTGATTACTTTTAACAGCTCGCTCACTAATATTTGATACAGAGGCCACGGGCTGCGTGGTGAATATAGAGTTATCTATTTTTACAAGTTTGACCGAGCATGGAATCGGCACATAAAAGTTGCCAGATAAACCACGTTACTCGGCATCCCGTGATGTCACAACTTTATTGGTGCTTTCTTTCCTTTTATATGCTTTTGATATTATACTATATAAGTATATATATACACTTATTATATATACTAGTATATATATATATATATAGTATATATATATATATATATAATATTGCCAATTTATCGTTTTCACCATCTGATTTCCATTTAAATGACAGTCCATTGTGCTCCAAAGCGCGTGTAACTTGGTTTTTCCACGTCCAGGAACCGGTTCTACACGGGTTTTGTCTCGGAAAAAACGGAAAAAAAGTGTGTGGGAAGGCGCTTGAACTGAAATGTTACGCCCTCAGCTGCTCGGTCTGCGGCACAGCCAATTAGGTTTTCTTAGTGACTCTTCCTATCAAAACAAGCACATATATAAATAAATAAATAAGTATATATATATTAATATATATGTGTGTGTTGGTGTGTGTGTGTGGTGTGTGTGTGGTGTGTGTGTGTTGTGTGTGGTGTGTGTTGTGGTGCTGTGTGGTGCTGTGTGAGCGTGGGTGTGTTGTGTGTGTGTGTGTGTGTGGTGATGTGTGTGTGTGTGTCGTGTGGCGTGCTGTGCGTGGCTGCTGTGCGTGTTGTGCGTGGTGTGGCGTTGGCGTTCGTGCGTGTGTGTGTGAGGTTGTTAGTGTGTATATAACTGCTTCATGCATTGAGAAACGGCTAAGCACTTCCTTCTTCTATCTTACTTCTTCTCTCTTCTTCTACAGCTCTTCTTCCCTCTTGCTTACTTGCTTCGAAAACCGCGTTCAAAGAATATCTAAGATAGTATCGCTAACTTATATATTTTACCTCACTTCGTTATGCAACCACAACCACGTGCGGGGCCAAACGAATGAGATCAATCCAATTTTCACTCCGGCCTTGCCATCCGCGTTGTTACATGCGTGCCTC